GACGTCACGTGACGAAATTGGATGTAAGCAATGTCGTTCAAAGCGACATTTTTCTTCAAGTTCATTTAGAATATTGTAAATCTCTCAAAAACATTACTTTTTGTTGACGAACGGCCCACTTAATTATATTGACGTTATGAACGGTCTTCCTTTCACGCATTACTTCACAGAAGCGCTTTGTCACTGGAGAGCGAATGCAATATTGTTTAATTAGGAATGATAGCATGATTGACTCACCTAAATAAAATATTTAAATCGCAAGTTAATTATAATTCACACTTTAAATGTAATAAACATTTACGAAATATATCATACTTCTTATACTAGGTGTCATATCGATTCCTGGCGCTGCAGGTGGCACACTACTTGGTGGCTGGATTGTGAAGAAAACCAACTATGGTGTTAAAGGAAATCTTAAACTCTGTATTGCAATCTCTATTGCTACTATCGTGCTGTCGTTGTCCTACTTTCTGAGATGCCCAGATCAACCAATAGCTGGGGTGTTTAGATCTTACGATCCAACAAAGTGAGAACTACTATCCGTTTTTTTTTTATGTTTTACTGTTGTTTCGTGTAAAACACTATACCAGATGAAACGTTTTTCGTAAACCAATACTAGATTATTAATTTACCTTTCTCGCCATTCTAGCACTACTCGGTTGAGTGAGGTACAACTGGATCACCCGTGCAATGCAGATTGCAATTGCTTCCGACGAGTGTATGTACCTGTCTGTAGTGAGATCAATGGTCTGCAATATTTTGATGGTTGTTATGCTGGATGTGAACTGACACCCGATGCGTTGGTGAGTAGTAGGCGTATACAATGAGCCCAGGATTAGTAGGCGTATACAATGAGCCCAGCAATAGTAGATATATACAATGAATCTAGCAGTAGTAGGCATTTACCATGAACCCAGCAGTAATAGGCATATACAATGAACCCAGCAGTAATAGGTATATACAATGGACTAAGTCGGGGTAGTCAATAGAAGGGCATACTCAACGATTAAATGTCCATATTAAATTTGGTTTGTTGCAGCCAGCATTACACTGGCCTGAATCGAAAGTCTTGTGTGTTGTAATTTACATGTTCGTTTGCCTGTACTGTCTGCGGAACAAAGGCATTCCCTTCATTTTCTAATGCATCTAATGCATTTGTTGCACTGAGAGTATGTAAATTAATTTAAATCAAGTGGGTGTCTGGCTGAACAACCTTAACTGAGTCGGTTTGCACTGAACTTGAATACATGGCTTATATATGTATAGTATATACTACATGCACTTTGTAATATTCGGGATTCGACTTTCCTTGTGTATTTCCAGCTCGTCCCTGTGGGTCCTTGTACGAACCTTGTATGCCATGATGAACTGTTTTTTTTTGGTATGTGGCGCAGAAGGCAGCGAAATGTACAAAGAAATGCAACATGTTCAATATTATGATCATGACAACTTTTTCAGTGTTAAATGACACTAACTTGTTGTCAATTTTAGATTTACTTCAACTGTACCTGCATCGATATTCACATGCAATACCCCGTGTATACAGTGAAAGCTGAGTATGGTATATGTGAGGAAGACTGTTGGCAGCTCATATTATATGTCATATTGTTCTTTACGATCATGTTAGTTGGCTTCACTATACTGGCTCCCCTAGCTGTGCTGGGAATGCGGTACGTAAATATGCGTTTCTTCTTATAATGCGGTGAAGTGTAATGAGAAAGTACAATTCAGCATCACAACTATTGGAAATGTATTTATATTTTTCTGTTTCAGAACTGTTCCTGACAGCCAAAGGTCATACGCACTTGGTATATCGTCTCTTATGTATCGATTACTTGGTACGTACTGGTTGGCTACTTGTAATAAAGAACAACTTGATTTCAAAATATACGTCACATCACATGTAAAAGCAAAAGGATCGTCACCTGCGCATGCGCGGGAATTGAGACATAAGTGACGATAACAACGCATGCTAAGAACGCAAAGGCCCATGGGCAGACGCTTGTTTGTAAACAATGACACGCCATGGCCGTCTGCCGCATGCGCAGTTGACGACTCTTCCGCTTTAACAATATTTATATGTGCATATAAACAGCAATAACATAAGTGTTGTATACATCAAAAGCACATTCTCGCCTAGATTAATTGTTAATAATAATAATATAAGGCCAGACAATAAACTTTTGAAGCAAATGGCTGTTGTCATCTCATTTACAGCGAGAAAGCCACGAAACTTGTTTTTCCCTCTTAAATAGTGTGCGTTTTTCTCCCGCCATCGCGGCCACTGTTTCCCTGATCAATGTGAGTATGATATTTGGAACAGTGGATGTTATGACAGGAATGAATAGAACGCTATTTTAGAGCAAAAACATAGTCTCGCGGCTCTCGCTCTCAACGAGATCTTGGCGGCCATTTGCGGCTGAATGCATAATTGGCAGATACATCTGGAGACGTTGTTTAATATTTTTCTGTTTTCCTGTTGAATTTCTTAGGTGCTGTACCAGGACCAATTATTGTCGGAGCCGCAATTGATAGTGCGTGTATTGTGTGGCAAGAACACTGCGACAGCACAGGGAAATGCCACATATACGACAACGCGGATTTTGCATGGAAATGGTTCATTGTTGGTTTTGTGTTTTACGGAATAACCGTCATTTTTTACATATTGGCCCTATTTACATATAAAGAACCTCAAAATGAAGAAATAGAACCCATAACCTATAAATTAAAGTCTGAAAACACAGAGGACTCTGTAATGGGAACTTATAGGACCACTGGCAGCTTTTCATTCTCCCAGCCAGTCGATGCGGACACAGAACCTCCGAGTAATTAGAAGTCAATGTGATATTGGATGTAAGCGTGTTTTTTTCCTGCTTTAAGCAGATTCTTTTTATTCGATTCACGGCATTCATGGACAATCGGCTGAGCAGTTTGAAATCATCTAAATATTCTATGGATGTTGATACAATTTCAAAAGCGAAAAATTTTGTTTTTGTTTCTCATGTCGAAATGTGTACGTTACTACACCGGGATAAATCAAGTAGTTTCTATTTGAACTAGTCTACATGTCGCCGGGTACAGCGTTTGCGTCATGTATGATAATTAGGTGCATGACAGTACGAGAATATGTATAGATATACGATCACCAACTTCATATGTGAGTCAGGTACCTGCTACTCGAACGCAAGGTTATTTCAATAGCCGATGGGACAATATACTATAAAAAAATCGTTCATCTATGACGAATACATATTGCCCAGCGAACCGATCTCACCAGCGATTACGTGGTGTTGTTATGACTAATATGATATTAGTGTTTGTATTATTTTAATCCGAGTGGATGCAAACCAGTTTGCATGTCATCTTTTCCAATCTTTTTTGTACATCTTATGTATTAGTATGTAAACTGGGTCTGCTGTGAAAGTTAACAACCACGCATGCCTAATTTCTGAGATATCGGATGTTCTACTTTGCGAGCTTGGCTGCTTCTGTCGTACTGAATTTCGAGAACATGGCAACTTCATATCGAGACATGCTCATTGGTGTACTGTGGCCTAGTTATTGAATGTAATGTGATGAATCAGGTTTCTGATGGTTTTGATAAGTATTTACGAAATCAGTATGTTAAAAAATACTAAAATCCCAGCGACCCCCTCACCGCCCGGCTCTGCTTGCGAGATCCAATGTTTATGTCATATTATATAATCAAGTAGATGTATCGAAACTTAAGGTGAACCAGGGCGATGCAGTTAAATGCCGTCGTAAACGGAGTGGGATCCTTTAAATAACACGGGAGGGATATATATTCATTGATTAAGGTTATTAGAAAATTCTATCGGAAATATAACTAGCCGAGCTTGATGTCTATTTAGGATTCTGCTTAAAAATAATTTAGCCAATCATAGTACGTTAATTTAGCCAATAAAACAACCTTATTAATAGTTATTTACCAATCAGCTCGTTTCCCTATTACCCAATCATTATTCGCCAAACCTTCTAAATAACGATGTTCTATGTTATGACTATTCTTAAATAAATGCCGCATTTTAACTATCCTACATCCGGGGTATTGCACGTATCGTTCCCGATATGCTTCTAAACAAAAAACAAAAACGTCAACAACTTGGATATTATGGCAGACCTTCAATGTAGAACGACATGCCCTGTGTACATGATGAGAGGTTGACAGTTTTAAGATAATGGTTCTCGCGCAATGACAAAGTTCATTTGGTGGCACATCCTGCGATGAGTATCTTATCTTTCATATTTCAATATACATTGAGTCTGAGCTATCCTTGACCACGCTGCTGTAGATGACATACTGGCAGTATTTGGAATAAGTAATTTATTTTATTTATATATTAGTGTGGTTGGGACGTATTAAACATATGTCATCTTTATGTTTCTATAATTATGGGTTAATGTCACTATGATACCGAAAATGAAAACATTTTCGGGAGTCAGAAATTCCGTGAGAATGTCAATGGAAAATGGTTCCCCGTAACCCATTCAGAAGCACAAAATCTCGGTTATTTGAGATATATAACAAGGAACAGGTACCATAGATCAGTTTGAAGGGACGAGGCAGTATTAGCTATAGGTCACTCGTTTTACATATGAGATTGTATGTTTGCTCTGTTATTTACATGTATGTCACACGATAGTTTAGAAGTACTTTGACACCAAAATTAGCACTACGGTCTATAATAGTATCTACTACCCCGAGGGTGCTTCATAGTTAAAGGGCGGTGGTAGTCGCGCAGCGATTGTTCGAATTTCATCTAAACAAACAATGTATTTTACACGCG